TTAAATGTAATTTTAAAAAGAAAAAGTTCTATGATGAAAAGTAAAATTCTCCTAGCCTGGCCATTCCTTTTCTTCATTATTCTTGCTTCTCGACTTATAAATTTATTTTACAACATAGAAAAAATACAAATTGACTCTCCATTTAATTGATACATTTGTTTTTTCCTCTTTGAATAGGTGAAAACACTTTTCGAATCCAAGTGTATATTCTTAGTAACTCTTCAAGGTGGATAGTAACTTTTTAAGTACTACTTGATCATGTCAGAAAATAAAGTTTTTCTTGAAAGTATACTTACAGAAGATTTTCTCTACTGTAAATTTCAGCTGAGATTATATACCAGAAATTGGTACTAGAAATGCCCTGAAGGGCAATACATTCTTCTCAGGGATGCAGAACAGAAGAGAGTCCTCCTACCAAGGCACTTATAGCCCAGAGGACAGGGGAAGCTCATAATTTCATTTAAAGCCAGGACATGTGGCTTCCCTGACTGTAACAGAAAGATAACCTTATAAGCAGGAGGCCAGCACCCAGGCAGATGTAGATGTTCATCTTGTCATATTCTCACTTCATTTTGTGCATGTTGCTGTTTTAATAGTGATGATTGTTTTACTCATTTATGTGAATATCCTTGTAAGTATATGTATTCTTATCTTGCTTCCTGCTATAATTTCAGAGCACTTACAAAGCTATGGTTCAGGCTGGATGCGGTGGCTCACACCTGTAATCCCAGCACTTTGGGAGTCTAAGGTGGGAGTATCACTTGAGGCCAGGAGTTCGAGGCTAGCCTGGACAGCATAGTACAACCCCATCTCTGTTTATAAAAATAAACAAAGCTATTGTTCAGAAATTATTTATTAAATTAATCAGTCCCTGCCTACCTCCATCCTTCTTCTCATCCCTGGTGCTTACCACAATAAATAGCACATGTTAGTTGTATAGTTTGCTGATGATTGAATTAGTAAACATATGAGATGGACTTGAGGTATAGGCTCTCTAGGAAAAGAACTGATTAAAATAGCTCAGAGCAAAATGGAAGAGTCGGAAAGTAGAAGGATTCAGTGAGGACAAAGAACAGGTGCTGTGGAAATAGTGGTAAGAATAGGAAGTTATGGTCAGAATGCAGGATAGTTGCATCTACAATTTCAGCAGTGGAGCAATTCTGGGTGGTTAGGGTCTAGTAGCTAATACTATAGATAAAGCACCCTGGTGATCGAGGGGATGGGGGGAACTGCATGTTTTGGCATTTGAGGCTATACTAGTAAAACAGCCAGTTCCCTACCTAATATCCCTAAAGCAAAACCCACTGTGAAGGAAATCCAGCCCATACAGACAAAGCTCCTAATTGGAATTTCAGTGCCTGAACAGACAACCAAGGATGACTACACAGTTGAGGAAAGGCTTTCAGATCAGAGAATCTCTAAGGGAAGAAGCATCCAGAGAAGAAACATAGATATGCAGAAAACTTAAGAAGATTTTCAGAAAAAAGAATAGAGATGATTTTGCATACCTAAAACAAGAACAGGGTGTTGTGGAAAAGGAGCATTCAAGAGCGTAAGAAAGTTATCAACAATTTTAAAGATCACAATAAAAAACTCAGTAGAAAGATTAGAAGATCAAGTTGAATCAAGCACCCTCAAAATAGAAGCAATAACAAAGAGTAGAAAATAGCCACTGCACCTGGCCACATTTACAGATTCTTTATAAGGCAAATGCCGTTTATGGATTTGACTTAAAATAGTGATGCAGGTGAGAGCCAAACCCACAGTCATCGATACAGGAATTAAACTGTTAAGTTCTCAAATTAGGCTGGATTTGGTGGCTCACACCTGTAATGCCAGCACTTTGGGAGGCCAAGTTGGGCAGGTCATTTGAGGTTAGGAGTTTGAGACCAGTGTGGGCAACATGCGAAACCCTGTCTCTACAAAAAATACAAAAATTAGCCGGGCGTGGTGGCACACGCCTGTAACCCCAGCTACTTAGGAGGTTGAGGTGGGATAATGGCTTGAGCCTAGGAGGTGGAGGTTGCAGTGAACCAAGATTGTGCCACTGCACTCCAGCCTAGGCTACAGAGTGAGACCCTGTCTCAAAAAAAATAAAGTAAGTCAAAAAATAGCAACCTTAATCATACCATGTAGAGATGGGAACAAACTTAGCCTCCCCATGCATATTGCAGTATATCATTTAGTGGAAAAAGAACAGTGCAAAAAAGAATAAATAGTATGAAATAGATACATGTATAGTCATAGAAGTTTCTTAAAGATACCCAAAAACTATTTTATAAAGTAAAAATGTGATTAGATGTTGATTTTTTAAAAAAAAATTATTAATGAAAAATAGCAGAAATTGAACACTGAAGATGGGAGCTAAAAGAGATTACTGCTAGCTAGGGGGACATTAGAGAAACTTTGTTAAAGAGTAAACATCTCAATTAGGCTTTGTCATCTAAACACGAACCCAGGTAGGAAAGTGTAAGATCTCATAGCTACATGGGCTCTTTATTTACAACGTTCTATCTTACCATTAAAGTAAAATCTGAACTGTGTTGCTGGAGGAATAGCTAGCTCTTACTAATTTGTAGATTAATAGAATTAAGCAAAAATTATGTTTATTCCATTTGTTAAATATCCTTTAAAACATAGCTTGTACTTGTCTACTTTATTAAGCTTAGTATTGGGAGATAGCTTAAGGATCTCATTGTGCTGTAGATGAAGAAAATATAACAATAGCAGTGGGCAGTTACTGTGTGCTTGGTTTGTGCCCTCTTTTCCCCTAGATTTTGGCTTCAGCCTGATAATAGCACAGCCATCACTCATAAGCGTTGCCTGTCCCTTATAAAAAGGTTGTAAGTGCAGACTTTGTAGTGTTTCTGTGCCTTTTAACATGAAAACTTTCCTGGAAAGTATCATCTAAAATGATGAATAATCATTTTCCAAACTGGATACATGTGCACACCTTCTTTAAAAACAATGTTTCTCAACCTTGATTGAAAATGGAGTCACATCTAGAAGCTTTAAAAAACTGCCAGTGCTTGAGTTCCATTCCCAGAGATTTCCCTGACATGGGTTGCAGACATTGGATATTTTTGAAGCTTTTCAGTTAATTCTGAAGGACAAAGACTGAGACCTACTGTTTAAAGAAAAATACTCATTAAGACATACCCACCATCATGTAATTTAAATTATTTTTATTATGATAGTTACTTAAATATGGATAAACTAACACTAGATTGAAATTCCTTTTGCATGTAGTTATATGGAAAACACATTTACACATTAAAAACAAACCAAAATTAATAAATTCAAAACATAAATGGATAGATGATGATGTTTTGCTAATACTTTTGTGTATGTTTTTCCTTCTGCGTGGTCTAAGTCCTTCCCACCTGTATCAGTCTGGGTCCATTTGGGATTTAGAAACCACAGTGATGTAAACAAGGAAAGTTTAATAAAAGGAATAATTAAACTGTGAGAAAAAGGTAACTCTAGAAAACTATATGGAAGGACCAATTTTGGAAGGAGGCCCCCCTCCAAGGCTAGGGAGGATCACAAGGGACAACTCTGTGGATGGGGTGAGTGGCAGGAGACCTGGGCCCTCAATGTCTATGTTGAGATGGTCATGAGAAAGGTGACACTAGACCACACCAGAACTAGAAGGTTGCTGAGAAACCACCCATGCTGGGCCCATGGCTGGAGCCATTGGATGGTGGCCTCACACCTACACGCCTACCCTCACTTGTCTTAGCAGCTAGAATCAGAAGGGCTGTTTCCTCCTGCAGTGTCCCTAGGGTGCCCTCTACTGAGAAAGCTCCGCATTGTACTCACTGAGAAGAGAAATGTTGAAAGGAGCACGGTCATTATTGCAGAGCAAATGTTTAAGGGTGACTTTGGAGCAAATAGTCAATAAATCAATCACTGGCATAACACCCTATGGCAGCCAAAACTTTTTCAAGTTTTCAGCGCTAGCTCATAGGTTGCTGTGACCTCTTCTGAGTAGAATTGCTCTATGTTGTGTTCCAGTGTATCTTTATGGTAGCTCACCATGCTGTGTGGGAATCTTTGTTTTTTAAAAAAAAAATTAGCTTATCAAATAAACATAATTATAGTGTACGTAAGAATCACCTCCAAAGATTCTGATTTGGTTGTGCTACGGTGGAAACTAGGAATCTACGTTTTTAATAGGCACCCCAATGATTCTAATGATGGTGGTCCCTGAGGTAGCACTTTAAGTAATATACTGGTCGGTATTTCTCAAATACATACTGGGGGCTGGACTGTAGAAGCTGTATCTTACGCGATATTGTGCCCTTATCCCCAACACAATGCCTCATGATAGGCTGGTGCTCTACAGTGTGGGCTGAATGTAAGACAGCCAGTCACTCACTTCCTGCTGTGCTGCTGGGAAGTATCCCTCTCTAATGCCTCACAGTGTCCCCCCGTATCCCATATGCAAAATTCTGACTTAAACTTTGAGCAGCTAATGCTTTTTCATTTTTTGACTTAACATGATCATTATACTTACACTAGTTTTGTTTAATAGGGAGAAAGAGCAAGAAACACAAGCAGAGGAACGTTTGATGGAAGAAAAGAAAAAGAAAAAGCAGGAAGAAAAGAAAAAGAAGGAAGGTGCTCAGAAAAAGGTTTGCTTGAAGTTTCTACTTCATTGTCTTTGTATCATTTTGTGTCTCATTTGTATCATCATAACCATTACATGACAAAGTTTCATTCTGTTACTTTTTAAATCAATATGCCAAGTCTATAATTAGCGAATAAATAGATATCCTACTGGTGAAATAAATACAGGTGACAGCCATTAAATGTCTAATTAGAACTCGGCATATTAGAGCTATGTTTTAGGGAAGCTGTGTTTTGGTTTGTGGTAGCAAAGTGTGTCCATGTTATTCTACTTAAAATGAACTGTCTTGAACAGTCATGTCCAATAAATGAAGAAAGGGCCATGCAAGTGATCTTATTCGAAAAGCTAGAAATAATTGTTTTTTTGTAGCTTTGGCAAATGTTCTTTTACAAATCCTATTAGTAAAGATGAAAAATAAAAGCCCTACTGTAAACTTTATACTCAAGCTCGAATTTTATGGCATTTAAAATACCAAGTTACGCCATTTGTCTTTGTTCTTACCTAGTTGTTTTTTTGTTTTTTGAGACGGAGTTTCACTCATGTTACCCAGGCTGGAGTGCAATGGCACGATCTCGGCTCACCGCAACCTCCGCCTCCTGGGTTCAGGCAATTCTCCTGCCTCAGCCTCCTGAGTAGCTGGGATTACAGGCACGCCCCACCATGCCCAGCTAATTTTTTGTATTTTTAGTAGAGACGGGGTTTCACCATGTTGACCAGGATGGTCTCGATCTCTTGACCTCATGATCCACCCGCCTCGGCCTCGCAAAGTGCTGGGATTACAGGCTTGAGCCACCGCGCCCGGCCACCTAGTTTTAATCATGTAGTTTAAACTGTGTACTTGCCAGAGGCTGTTAAAATTATAGCACTTAAATGAGCTCCAGATAGAATTTTTTGTCTTTAGATTAATATTGTCATGTAATCAATGGCATGTAGACAGTTACACATTTTTCCCACTAATTATAATAAATTAATTGGACAAAAACTCATTTTTAAAATTTTCAGTTAAAAGTTTGCTTATAAACTTTCATAGATGTGTACATTCTGTACATTATTATTCCTAAAGAGTTTCTTTTTTTTTTTTTTTTCCAGGCTGCTGATCAAAAAACCAAAGGTAAGTTTATTTATATTTAGGGGGGTATATTTACAGCAGTCTCAAAATTTTTATGATCTAAGCCTGCTTTTGAAACTACTTTTTATTATTCATTGTGAAGTTCCTCATTTATCACCGGTTTTACATCTGCATCTCACTGGCATTTGGGTAATCTAAAAATGCCTGAAAAATGTTGTGTTAGCTTTTCAAACAATGCTTTTAAATTTTCTTTTGGTTCATTTCCACCAAACAGGACTGAACTGGTAAAGTTGATTCAGTTTGAATAAGAACAACCAAAGGATATCAGCATTTTTTTTTTAAGATTCCTATGTGTCTTTACCAGCTATCCTTTATAATAAAAAAGGTATATTCTTTCTGGATTCCCTCTTTGCTTATTAATATGTAAAAGATTTCTCTTTTTATCCTCCATGTCCAGAATTTGCTGGTTACTATAAAAGGTGTTGGTGGAAACACACATTTTTGCTGTAACTCAGGCATCCTGTGATGTGCTAGAGATTCAATCAACATAAACGAACTGAAAGCCACACTCCAAGCCTCTTCATGTTATACATGTATGTTTAGTTATTTTCCAGTGGCTAAGAGCACACACTCAGGAGTCACATACACTAGCTCTGTTTAATTTGGGACAAATTACTTCATTTCTTTAGGCTTCAGGTATCTCATATTTAAAATGAGAAAGGTAGTGAATGGTTCCTACATCATAAAGCTGTTATAAAGACTAAATCAATGCAATTATTTGTCAATGAAAAATAAAATATAAAAAAAAGACTAATTGAGATCATGCAGGAAAATGGCTCAGTACCTAGCATATAATTGGTGCTCAGTAAAAAGGTTTCCTATAACTGTTATTCTGAAGTTTTTATTTTCCACTGGACCATCACATGTACACAACTGTACATGTAGAGACATGCACTCTCACAGCTAATACTCTTGTGTGACATTTTATAGTTTTCAAAGTCAAGGTTATGTATATTATCTCATTTGAACTTCATAGCTGAACAGGAAAGGAATTTGTTTACAGATAATCTGCCATGAGTTAAGAGGCTGATTCTTGGTTAAGAACTGGTTAGTGGTAAAGAAAAGACGTGAGGTAGCCCAGGTCTCTGAACCTCTAGACTAGAGTCACATGAAGAGAGGGAGTTAATGTTCCATGAATATTAAAAAACAGCATAGCAAAAAAGGCGTTTTTCTCTCATACTCTCAGAAGCACTGTGAATTTACGTAATACTTTTCCAGAAGGGTCCAAAAGGGTTGTGGTATATAGTCGTATTTGAATATATGATCTTGAATGAGAAACAATGGTTTCTAATAATTGTCATTTCAAAGTATAGAATTATCTGTTCTGGATCATCCATTTTTTCTTTTTTCTTTTTTTTCAAAATTTTGGGTTTTTCAGTCTGATTCAGCACTAGTTATATTCTTTGTCCGTGTCATTGCTTTCTCCTCAAGTAGTAACAAATTGCTTATTACTGAATAGTGATTGTGAATTACATTGTCCGCCACTTTACGCGGAGCTATTATTTTCTATTACTGTTCTGATGAGAAATTTCTCTCTTTTTTTGAGACAGACTCTTGCTCTGTCATCCAGGCCAGAGTGCAGTGGCACAGTCTCAGCTCACTGAAACCTCTGCCTCTCAGGTTCAAGTGATTTTCCTGCCTCAGCCCCCCTAGTAGCTTGGATTACAGACTCTCACCACCACAGCTGGCTAATTTTTTGTATTTTTGGTAGAGACTGGATTTTGCCATTCTGGCCTGGCTGGTCTTGAACTGCTGACCTCAAATGATCTGTCCCCTCTTGGCCTGCCAAAGTGCTGGGATTACAGTTGTGAGCCACCGTGCCCAGCCTCTCTTGAGAATTTTCATTGCTGACTCTAAACGCTACTGGATTTTTCTCTTCTCCTCCTATATCCCGTAAAATACTGTTCCTTTGGGTATAGTTTGTCAGTAACTACTAACTAGCCTTAGAATGGGTTGTAATAATAACTAATGTCTTTCTAAACGAAAAATCCTTTTTGAATTATAAATAATGTATCAGTACTGCTAGGTAATTCATCGATGAATATTAGCAGCATCAAGGTTTATGTTTTTCTCAGACTCTACGTTATTACTGGTTCAACTCAAAATTCACTGCCTGAGAAATACTGATTCCAACTTTCTGACTGGACAGTGTCGGGTGACACAGCCTGGGCTGACTGTACATATGGATACATGTTAATAGTACTAGTATTAGTGTTCACACTTGAAATTGATGCTTTTCTAACATTCTAGCATTTTGACTTCTCTCCCCTGCTCCAGATTGTGTGTCCATGAGGGTAGGGGCCACATTTGCCATGAGGCAGCACCCAGAAGTCTCAGGGCCTGAGTCGTTTGAATATAGGAAAGTGTTTAGCAATTTGAGAGAGTCCGAGAGTTGGATATTTTTAAGAGAGAGGCTACACTTACAAATTAGATTGTATGATATGCTGAATCAATTAACATTGTAGAAGTTTGAGTAATTTTGGTTTTGATAATTAGCTCAAACTAGACTAAATCCGTTAGAAATTCCCTTGTTCTGCAACGTTACACACCACTCACCTAGCAGCGTTAGTAAAGCAGTGCCCTACTTAGCATTATGTTTGACTTGATTTTCTCAGTAACAGAAATGCTTTCAATTTTGATTTGTTTTAAACATTTTCAAGGAACTTTTTAGAATATATACCTTGCTCATCTATTATACCCCTCTACCTTCTCCTGGAGAATATTAATGAGTCTAATCCATTTTTAATAGATAAGTCTTCATTAGAGCGTTAATTATAGCTAAAAATTTTTTGCATCTGGCTATAACCATTGAACTTAAACTATGAAGTTTTTTTTCTTTTTTTTTTTTTGAGACAGAGTCTCACTCTGTGGCCAGGCTGGAGTGCAGTGGCACAACCTCTGCCCCCTGGGTTCCAACGATTCTCCTGTCTCAGCCTCCCAAGTAGCTAAGACTATAGGCACACGCCACCACACCCAGCTAAATTTTTTTTTCTTTTTTTAGTAGAGACAGTGTTTCACCATATTGGCAAGGATGGTCTTGATCTCTTGACCTCGTAATCCGCCCGCCTCAGCCTCCCAAAGTGCTGGGATTACAGGCCTGAGCCACCGCGCCCTGCCTGAACTATGAATTTTTATTTGAAAGGCTAATGCTGAACTGAAGCTAACTAGAAATATATCTTTTTTGAACATCTTAATCTAATACGTAGCATGCTTTCCTGCGCTCCCTCCACGAATTTCAAAAGTAGATTTCTAGAAAGTCTGCTTTGTAAAATTATCACTAAACAGAAATTTTGTTTCTGGCTCTCTTTTCAAATTCTAACCTGTGATGTCTTTGTTTGGGTCATTTTCTTTTTAAAATTCAGGCCAAGTGAGTATATTTGTGTGAAACACTATGTTGCCAACATTCATACCCCCATCCTACCCTGATGTGATTATGGGAGGCACATTTTCTCTGCAGCTAGGAGATATACTTTTATTCAGCCCTGGGGGTTTTCACTCTAATAGTTGATTCACTTTGGCTTTCACCAGTTTCTTCCTTTTGACCTGTCCTTGATTCTCCTCTATGCCTCTGAGTCTACAAACCCTGCAGTAGGGTTGATGTCCTGGACGCCTAAGGAACCTGGGCATGTTTGTATACCTGGAGGCCTTTTCCTTGATTGTCTCGGAGAGTCTTGGATTGCTGTCGTATTCAACTTTTTCTTTTTTTTTCTTTTTTTTTTTTTTTTTTTTTTTTTTTTAAGACGGGGCTTCACCATGTTGGTCAGGCTGGTCTTGAACTCCCAACCTCAGGTGATCTGCCCACCGTGGCCTCCAAAGTGCTTGGATTACAGGCGTGAGCCACCACGCCTGGCCTTCAACTTTTTCTTATTTTTGCCTCCTGTGATGAAAAACAAAAGTTATATATTCTCATTGAAAATAATTTGAGATTATCTAAAGAGAAATTAGAGTTCACTTGAAATCCCTCTATCCTGAGATAACTTGCTTGTTAACAGTTTGTTAGCCATCCTTGAATGCATCTCTCTATGAATTCATATACATAAATATATATTGATAGGGATTCTCCACTGTTCCCCACAGTTAGCACTCCCAGATCCCTATTCCTTCCAGGAGCTGCGCCAAGCAATTTGGAAACCTCTGAAGGAGCCTATTCATAAACAAACTAGTCCTTTGTAAATTCTGCTGAATATTGTCTTTGCGTTGGTGATCAAAGAAAGAGACTGCTGAACACAATTACCTGTTACCCTTAGTGAGACCCTAGATGCTCCCATACTGGGGGAAAAGGGAATCAGATAGAATCCTGTTGCCGTTAACTTGTGCATTGTAGCTCTCTGTGGGGTAACTAGGGTCCAAGTGTCACTTCAGACTGGCATGGGTTTTGTGACCGCAATGAGTAATCAGTTTTCTTTATTTTTGTCACTGCCATTAATTTAGGTACTGGTAATAGTAGCTTTATTTGTGATGTAACGACCTTGTGAGCCTAGGTTTTCAGTATTGTTTTCTGGGTGTTTTCATGGCTTGAGTGAGGAGTGTGTATGTTTTTTTTTAAATGATTATGATAATTCTCATAAATGTGAAAATTTAATTCATCGGTTTTAGCCAGATTTTTTTAAGTTCATAAAGTAGATATTTTCATACAAAAAGTTCAAAGTTAGTCTTACTGTGTATGAAAGTGAGTATCTTGATGACCCAGTATGGCTCATGCTTTTTATCATTAATGAGTTATGATTTTTAAGTCACATACATTTAAATTTGTACTTTTTTTTGAGAAAGAGAGGGTCTCACACTGTCACCCAGGCTGAAGTATAGTGGCACGAACACA